TCCAAAGCTCCCCAGGGTTCACCAAACACTCCACAGATTTTCAGAGCTGGTGGGAGAGGGAGGGGCTGAGAAGTGAGGAGGCATCCCAGTGTCCTTCTCAGCATGGCTTGGCTGGGTGATCACCTTGTACCTTATTAGGGAGTAATGTCTGGGGAATATTTGCTCAAGGTGTGAGTTCACAGGTGTGTAATAAGTCATGTAATAAATTAAACAATACAGTGCAGTGATAGAGTTGAGGGCCGAGGTGAGCAGGTCCCTCCGCTCCTGAAGGGCTGACCCACCCTTCAGGATGAGCAGGATTAGATCGTTCTTGGGAGCTGTGGCTCTGCCTCCTCCAGCCCTGACCAGAGCAGGTTCCTCCTCCTCAAGGGCAGGTGCCAGTTTGGGGAGACTCATGCAGACATGGAATATCCTGAGTTGGAAGGGACCCATCAGGATCACCCAGTCCAACTCCTGGCCTTGCACAGACACCCCAACAATCCCACCCTGTGCCTGAGAGCATTGTCCAAGCACTCCTTGAGCTCTGGCAGGGTTGTTGCTGTGCCCAATCTGTGGGAAGGGGTGAGTTCATCTCCACACACATCCTTAGTTTTTCTCTCCCTCTGCCCTCATGATACCCCGTCTGGAGATGGGTCCGAGTCTGGAGTCCTCAGCACAGGAAGGACATGGAGCTGCTGGAAGAGGCACCAAGATGATCAGAAGAATGGAGCAGCTCTGCTATGACAAAAGGCTGGGAGAGCTGGGGGTGTTCACATGGAGAAGCTCCAGGGAGAGCTCAGAGTCCCTTCCAGTGCCTAAACGGGCTCCAGGAGAGCTGCAGAGGGACTTGGGACAAGGGATGGAGGGACAGGACAAGGGGGAATGGCTTCCCACTGCCAGAGGGCAGGGTTAGGTGGGATATTGAAAAGGAATTTCACCCTGGCACAGCTTTGCCCGCTCCCCTCTCAGGGCCGGGACCCACCCTCCCCTCAGCGAAATGGCGGCGGGGGGAGGAGGGGGCCGCACGTGCGCGGGGGCGGGGCCTGCCCGCGCCCCCCCCCCCGCAGCACAATGGACAGCGCCCTGAGGGGGCGGGGCCGCGCGGGGGCGGGGCGGATGAGGGGCGGGGCCGCGGCAGCCGCGGGAGCCGCCGAGAGCGGGATGGGTCCGGCCGGGCTCCGCCGCGACCGCGGTGAGGAGGAGCGGGACGGGCGGAGGGCACGGGGGAGATGGGATGTGAGATCGGGGATGTGGGTGTGGGATACGGGGGACAGCCGCGGTGGGCAGCGCTCTCCGGGGGATCCTCGCAGCCGCCGTGTGAGGGAGGGGCGGGGGGTGTGAGGCTTTTTCCGCCCCGTGTGCCCGGGCCCTTCGTGAGGCGGCAGAGCGGGGGCGGTGGGTGGGTTTTGGGGCACCGGGAGTCTCTATCCTTCAGCCACGGGAAGCCGAGAGGGAAATTTTGGTCATAGTCGTGTGGGATCAGGGAGGGAGCCGGTGAAGACCCGGGCGATGGGCTCGGACTGGCATGGGAACCCTTCAGGTCTGCGGACAAAATACAGCGATTGTAAAGTTGTTAGGTTTATGTCGTGCCTGAGGCCATGGGACGGACTCTGGCTGAGGGGCGGGCGGGGATGTCTTTAGGTGAGCTGAGCCATGCAGGGGCTGAGAGTGGGACCCCAGCGTGAGCCCGAGCGGCTGCGGACCCCCGGGCACGCCGAGCTCCCGGGGGGCTCGACTTTCAACAAATTTACCCTGAAACTAGCCCTGAAGTATTTGTAAACTCGAAGGGTGACCCTGATCAATGTCTATTAAATGTTGATGGATTTAWCAGGGTGCTCAGAGCAGCTGTGGCTCCCCCATCYTGGAAGTATCCAAGKTGAGATTGGACAGGGCTTCCACTGGTCCAGTGGAAAGTGTCCCTGCCCGTGGCAGAGGGTGGAATGGGATGGACTTTAAGGTCCTTTCCAAACCATTCTGTGATTCCAYGTTTTCAAGTCAGCTTCTAGGTGAAACAAGTATGTTCTCTGGGTCACTYGGCTTAAGTCCTCCAAGAAGTAAAATTGGCTTGTAGATGGTGAGAATGGGCTTGTGTTGATGGCACCACTTATCTGGTGGGGCTGATGACAGCCAGCTTTTGTTGAAAGAAAATACAGCTGCGAATTTCACTCAAGGCAGACTGAAACAGTTTGCTGGTGATTTGTTGCACTGTCAAGTGAGTTGCTGCCTGGGTCTGCTCTTGGTTTACATGTTAAACTGAAGCATGGTGTCCTTGGCACAAGGAGGGTGTGGACTTGTTGAAATAGATCCCGAGGAGGCCACGGAGATGYCCCAAGGGCTGGAGCCCCTCTGCTCTGGAGCCAGGCTGGGAGAGCTGRGRGTGYTCAYCTRRAGAAGGATCCAGGGAGAGCTCAGAGCCCCTTCCAGTGCCTAAACAGGCTCCAGGRGAGCTGSAGAGGGACTKGGGACAAGGGCTRTGAGGTTGATGAGGCTCTTGCACAGGGTGCCCAGAGAAGCTGTGGCTGCCCCTGGATCCCTGGCAGTGYCCAAGGCCAGGCTGGACMGGGCTTRGAGCAACCAGGGACAGTGGAAAGATTCCCTGCCCATRACAGRGGATGGAACAAGACAGGCTTTAAGGTGCCTTCCAACCCAAACCATTCCAGGATTCTGTGTCTCCATTCTAAAATGGTATTTGAGAATTGAACTGTTTCCTGTACTGTAGATGCATAAATGTGGTATGACCTCCTGTGGAGTAGCAAGAGGAATGAGGGGCTTTCCTTGAGGATTGCTTATCTCCTGCTGCAGGCTGGCAGTTATCTGGGAGTTAATGTGTTGCTGTGCATMGGAGTTCTGTGGTGAGAAAATTGCCCTATGAGATGGAGGTGTGGAAGTACTGGGCATGGAGCTTGTTTTSATACACGCATGGAAGAGAATCAGCTCTGAGGGCAGAGTGCTGGACACAGTTCTGTTTCCTTCTTCCCCTCAGCCAAAAAGACTGTTCCTTATTGTGTGCTCAGGAATGTGTGGATGTTGTTGTTTGGATGTTTGTGTTGCTTGTCTTTGGTTTTGATCCATGCCAGGACTCCAGGCACCTCTGCCAGGTGTAGGACCAATGCCCAGCCTCCACCTCAGCACAGTGACCTGCACCCYCTGTGCTGCTTCATGTCCTCCAGAAGTATTTCTCAGGGGGCAGGTTCAAGCCCTGCCTGAGCAGATGTCTGCTTCTAAAAGATAGTAAAGGTTTATTCTGGCACCATTCCACCTTAAGGCTTCCTTGTATCAAGCTTCAAAAGATTTGTTCTTAAGTTCTTAAGTGAAAAAACTCTAACAAATATCCTACAGCTTGGTACTGTGTTATTCTGGCGATAAAGCATCAATTACAATATCTCCCCAAGTGAAAGGCACTCCAGGCTGAGGAAATGTCACACACCTTTCTCTCCACCTTTCACTAGAAGGGGAGAGGAAGGAATACAGCCCTGTAGAGTCCCTCTTTTCTAACTGGAAATATCAGCTTAGCTGGGTGTCACAGCTGGCTTTCATGTGGCGTAATGGTATTTGAGGAAGTCAAGAATCCTGCTATTTTCAGCAGGTCTTTGTCAAAAACAAAACAGAAAAAACCCTGCTCAGTTCTCTTCAAGATGAAAAGCRGCCACCGCAGGTGGGAGAAGTTAATAAAGTCACTTGCTGCCAGTTCCACATCCAAGAGGCAGCTCCAGAGTGGAAAGAGCTGACTGAGTTYTGTGCTTGGATGAGAAGCAGGGGTGGGGGGCTCTGATTCAGGGCTTTCTGGGTATTTAATTACACATTCAGTTTCTGATTGCTGACCATCTGGCTGTGTTCTGTCAGGTAAGCTGCTCCTACAAACAGTGGAATAGAAGTCAGGCATATGGAAAATCCCTCAGGTGCACAGTGGCTGATTACAGATGAGAAGGAAACACCCAGTTAATGTCACTGCCTGTCCCTTTGCTGTGTGTWGTGATGTGTGTTCCTCGTGGGAGCCCTCACAGACCTGGCTCAGGTGTTGGGGGAGCTTTGCACACTGTGAGTGCACCACTGCTTCTTCAAAATCTATTTCTCTGCAATGAATCTGTTTCTCCCAGAGTTGCAGCGTGTGCCTTCAGGGGTCCATATCCCTCCTGTTCCCACCTCCTCGGCTGGAACACCCAGCAGGTGCATCTCAAGCTTGTAATGAGCTCTCTCTGCTTCGCTCACAGGGGAGTTGCTGTGTGGGCTAGAGCAAAAGGGGTGCCCAGGGAGCTGGGGCTCTCAGGGCTCAGTGCTGKTGGCACAGTGTGTCACAGGATGCTTTGTGAAATGTGATGGCTGCTGCTGTTTTCTGTGCTCAGTTTGCAAGAATTGAAATACTTTTAATATCTGTTTGGGATTGCCTACTTTTAATATCTGTTAGGGTTGTTATTATTGGATTGTTGTTATTAGCTAGATTTGTTGCTTCAATGCATTGACAGCTCCAACCTCTGAGCTTTTATCAACTACTCTGGGCTTGGCCAACTGGAATCGAGCCTCTTTCCTGGTGTTTCCCCATGGGTGCTCCAATGTGGCTCCCTCCACCTGTGGATTGGGATTCAGTGGATCACTGCTCTGYACCTGAGGTGTCTTTCCTAATACACGTTTTCAGCAGATGCAAATAGGAGGTCAAGCAGGGAGCCTGGGCCACTGCAGAGCTGGATGGATGTTTGAGGAGCAGACATGCTATCTTGTTGGGTGGTTTCTTTCTGGTGGTTGAACATATCCCTTTGTAATTTGAGTGTAACACAAGGTGACTTTAAAAACACGTGTGGGTTTGGTGCTAAAGCCCTGGGAAGATGCAGGTCTTGAGTTAATACAGCCCAGATGCCCAATGGTAACACCTGAGACTCCTTGTCCTTATCAGTGCTAATCATCATYTGCAGCTGGAGGCACCGTGTAGCCACCTTTCACTGCCTTTTCTGATGCTTTTTTTCTTTTTCTTTTTTTTTCAGGAATTATAGCAGGAGCCCCCGTTGCTTTGAGAAGCACAATGACCATCTCCCAGCTCTGTTTGGAGGAGAGGGTGTAGAAGGTCTGCTGCAACTGCACTCCCCCGAGGTTTCTTGGGCAGGTGTGAGTTATCAGCTGTCATTTTTCCACATCTTCCTGTGGGTGTAATAGTCACTGGCTCTTTTTCCCAGCCTCCCCTCAGCTGGAAAAGTACAGGGGCCATAAACCCAGAGCAGTCAGGTCCAGCAGCTGCCAGGGAGCACCAGGTCTGTCCAAGCARCACAGTTAAGTCTGCTGAGCTACAGCTTGTGCCATCCCGCAGTTCCATGGCTGGTGACTTAATTTCTGGGTTGTGGGTGATTCTAGACGGCTCTGTCCTGAGCTTTCCTGCTCTGGAGGTTCCTGACCTTCTGCAGAGGTGCAGGGATTCCTGCTGTAGGATGTGAGGTCAGAATAAGCAAGATCCCAGCTCAGTGCGCTTGACGAGGCTTCTCCCGCTCTATTTGTGTTCTCAGGGAGGATCCCGCCCAGCCTAATCATGTGACAGGTCGTGTTCCAAGGTGCCCTGTGCTCTTGGCTCGGGTATCTGATACCTGATATCAGCCTAGGCTTCCTGGGGTGTGCTTGTCCTGCTCCTCTCGCTGCACTCAGGTTGGATGCTCTGCTGGTAGGTTCTCTCTGCACTGACTGGCTTGGCATGGACTGGTTTTAGCACCAGTGGCACTGAGAGATCCAGTGAGTCCTGACCTTTGCTCCTTGGGTGATGTGATCCTCTGAAGAGGAACTGTATGATCTCTGGACTCTATTTCTCCAAAATTCCCCCATTCTCAGGTACTCAAACTTTTAAAGTCCTTTCCCMCTCTCCCTTAGATTTTACAGTGTGATGGAATTTTGCAGCAGTTTTTGAGGGCAAATCTATTTCCTATCCATGGTTCACSTCCGGTTTTGGGCTGAAAATGTCAGGGATATGTTGTCTGAGTGCTCTGACTGTTGAGTTCAACGCTAYACTGCGTCATGTTGCCGATGGCTGTGTCTGCTCAGCAGTGGAATTCGAGTGGGGTGGAATGAGCACAGTGCCTCCAACCAGCCAGCCAGCCTTTTGTGTCCCTGATGTTCATGGACAGTATTAGGAGCAGTACAAAGGAATTCCTAAAGRAATTGTAGAAAGCAACCTAATAACCCTTTTTAAAATGGTTTGTGGACTTCCCATCAGGTGCTTCCTGATGCATGTTGGAGGGTTAAAACCCTGGCAGGAGAGTCTGARGGAGGAATCGTGATGAGAACAGTGAGAGGTGGCTGGGAGCAGGGAAATGCTGAGGACGGGGTTGTTCCTGTTSCCTGCAGTTCTTGCCTCAGTTCAGCTGGAACAGTGGGCATCCAGGCAGTGGGATGTGATTGCCAGTTTAGCATCAGGCATGTTCTTTCAGCATACTGTTTCCTTTTCCTTCCTTTCAGTGGGCTAAAACAACTGAATCCTACTTTGTGCACAAAAGCATTTAAAACACTGAGCTATGGGAAGCTGTGGAAGCTTTCATCAAGGAGGATTTTTCCTAGTGATTAGAAATGTAATGTAGAAAAGGGGGATAGGGGGAAGAATTGCCATGTAAGCTCTGTAAGGCTTCTTCTCCTGAGTGTGATTTATTCTGCCTTTACATCTCTGTATTGTGCTTTAATTATCATGAGTTTTGTTGGAGCTCCATGTTGAATTTACTGCAGTAGTGTTGGGAAGCAGCACAGGATGGACAGGAGGACACAGCACTGAACTGGGACTGCAAAGACTTGCCTCTGTCTCTATCACTTACTAACAGAATAGTCTACCAAATAAATCTCCTTCTCTCTATTTGTAAGAAGCAGTTACAGCTTCTAGTAAGGTCTGTAAAAATTGCACAGAATGCATTGCACTGTTTGGCATGGGGGATCTAAAATGTTCCAATTTCTTTCTATTACAGGTGTGTGGTAAAAATGGTGCAGAAATACCAGTCCCCAGTGCGAGTCTACAAATACCCTTTTGAGCTCGTCATGGCAGTGAGTAACACTCAGCAATTTTCTTGCTCCAGCTGCTGAGGGCCAGTGGGAGGTGGGGACTGCGGGTCTGGCTGGATGGCTGTGACAGCCCCACTGCAGGAACAGAGCCTCAGCYCTCCTCCTCCACTTTTCCATGAAAAATAAGGATCAATATCTCAGCATTAAGAATGGTGGTTTAGTTGTTAGAAGGGGGAAAAAAAAAACCAAGAAAATCCAACCTTCTTAATTATTCTTTGACAAGGAAGGAAAAAAAATTGACATTGTTAGGCAGGGTCAGTTTGTGGCCAGACACCTTCTTTGCCATATCACCAAGTGCCACTCAGTTCAAAATCTATCCAGATGTGATCCCAATCAGCACTGTAGTATGAATGTATCTACAATTGGATTCTGAATCATACTGAGATTTTTTATTTGGTTAAAAGCTGTGAAACTTTGCAAAATTTCTTCTGTATTTTCTTCCTGGTCCTCTCTTATTGAACTGCTGGGAGATCTCTCTCCAAATCTTGTGATTTCCACTAGGAGCTTGAGGGCTGTCATTGAAATTCATTCACTGCTGATGCAGAAAGCTTCTGTTGACCATGGGAGCTGCTTTAGGCAGAGTTTCTTTGTGATATTCTGGACTTTGTCATAGCTAGGTGCGAGTCAAATACCCTTCTCAAAGGTTTGCTGCTGCATTTCAAGGGCAGCCCTAAGCATTTGGGCATTGTTAGAGGAGCTTGCTTGCAAGGCTTGGGCATTTCAGTCAGCTTACTGGGATCTTGCTGGGCATTTCAGTCAGCTGTAGGGATCCCCAGGCTTGGTATTTGCTGCTTTTGCTGCTTCCATTGCCTGTTCCCAGTTTCTTTAGTTTATGGGAGGCCAGGAATGAAGATGGAAAGCTGCAGGCATTGCAGGCAGTTGACAGGGTATCCATGAGTGGAAGGGAGGRCCTCTATTAGAGTTCCCCTTGACAGTGGCCTCTTCAGGATTCCTGAGAAATTATTGCCTTAAGATTTGTTTCATCCAAAACAGCCTCCAGTCTTTCATTCCAAGAGTTAAAACTGGGGGAAAGAGTTTGAATAATGGACCCCAGAGGCAGCAGCAGCTGAGAGTGGTTGCTGTTCACTTTGCTCTTTGATATCCAAATGAACAGTGCTTTTGCTGACAATCAAGCTCCCTCCCAAATCCACCCTTTCTTTCCCCCAGTCTTACCCAAATTTCTGCTGTTGGTTAAGAGCTAAACCAGAAAAATGTGCCACAGAAGTGCACTGAGCAGTCTAGGCCTGATGTTTGTGGCAGTGAAGCTTTCCTGGCTGTGCTCTTTGCTCTGTCGGTGCATCCTGTGTGAGAATAAGACACAAATACCTGATGAAGATACTGGGAGCCTTTGCTCCATGCACACCTCTCCASATCCCTATTGTCTCTATTAGCAGGATAAAGCTCCCACCAGATGCTCCTCAATCGATTGGYTGCTAATAGAGGAGGGCTGCCTTGAGACAAATCCTTTGTAATCTGGTTAGCATATGCCTAWCTGGGCTGGGGGTTTAATTTTCAAGTGGATTGGTTTTATTTGYTTTGGGTTTTTCAGCATTACAGAACTTAAAATTTCCTGGGAATTGAGGGCTGGGACTGTAAATGTCATCTTTTAGTTGATCAGCAAATCTTAGCAAAGTTAATAGTCCTCTTTCTTACGAAGAAGTTCCTTTTCCAGGGTCACCCAGATGAGTAAGCAGCTGAATATAGACCCCTTAGTCCCACCCTGATGTGCTGTGCAAATCCTGTGTTCACAGCAGGATGTGCTGTTTGAAAGCAGCGTTTGGATTATCTGGTGGTGCTCCGTGCAGGCTGAGCTGGCTGCAGACTCGGTTAGCACTGTTGCTGTGCTCAGATGCTGCTCCCGTTGTGTGGAGGCAGCGTGGATCTCACGGATCTCACAGAGCTGTCAGGTACCAGCTGTCAGTTGCTGGAAGTTTTGCAGGGAAGAGTGGGTGTGCAGTGAAGYTGTTTTGCTCCTCAGCACGTGGCATTGCTGGTAATCTCCTTCACCATAAATCTGACAGCAGCTTCCTCAGCACTGATACTCAGCTGCTTTCATCTTTTTCCCTCAAATGCTGTGTGGGAACCTTTGGAACACTCAGGCTGTGGTAAGAAAGGAGAGGTCACAGCGGTGACCCTAAGACACCCCCATGTTTTACAGATCTCTGTGCACCTTCAGYCTGATACATTTGTGCTTAATTCCTCATTGGATCATCCCTCACAGCACAGCCTGAGCAGAGCACAGGAAGTAAATTGGGAAGAGGMTTTTTCCCTCAGAACCTCCAGTGTTTGGACCCTACTATAGAAAGCAGTGGGTGTGCTTTGCTTGCATGAGAGAGTCTGAGAAATAGAGTTGTCACAGCCAAATCTGGCAAGCAATTCCTTGTTTGCTGGCCTGGCTCACACACGTGGTGTTTCCCAGGCCCTTTGCTGAGCCCACTCTCAGGAACAGGAGTTCTCCTTGGACTTGTGGAGAGGCTGTGCTTGTGCTGCTCATCCTGGGGCTGTGTTCCAGGGGATGAGCTGGGGCTTTTCCYGTTGATACCTTTGTTACTGTGTGTCAGGGTAATTGTGTCTGGATTTACACTCTGCTGCTTGCTAATGCTCCTGCAGCTTGGGTTGGAGTTTACAGGCAGGAGATTTGATGTGTGTTCCAAGTCCTTGGAAGGACATTCATCTTCTTGCTCTCTTTGCTAGTCCTGTGCATCTGAGGAAGTAAAAAGTAATCAGCCTATCAAGTCTTTTCTTGTCATTTGGGAGTTCTGATTTTTTTTTTCTTTTTTCTTGTCCTTCCTTCTGAAAAAGATTTAAACAAAGGGTGGCTTTTCCACACCTGTCCAAGGTCACTGTACTCATTTCCACCTGCTTTCTTCTTARCTTGGATTCACATTAATGGATCAAAAGTATTATGCTCTTCAAACACATATTCAGTGYCTGACACCTTTATCCCTTATACTTGAAAAAAACCTTGACTTCTGTTATGCTTTGTTATCTTGACATTTTTTTCTTTTCCATTTTATCTCTTTTTTGTGTGTGTCTTCTTTTAAATGGAGCTGTTCCTCCAAAGGATTGTCCATGCCTCTCTGGGTCTGATCTTGTCTTCCCTTCAATTAGATCAGCAGATTTGACATTGCATGTCTTCTAATTTTATCTTACAGCCAAGAAAATTCCCAAGTATAAAATAACTTTTCATTTCTTCTGTCGTAGTTAGAAAGCTGAAAGAGATTTTTAAAAAATGTTATAAGGAACAATAAATCCAGAAGGAGATGTGCCTCTGCCACATATGAGTGATATAAATATTTGTGAGCCTTCTCTGATGTTTTGGGGATGAGATTTTGGTTTGGGTGAGCGAGTCCAACATGCAGGAAACAGAGCTGAGAGAGAGATTGCATACTTGATGTTATTTGCAATGAATTATTAGGTTAGATGAGATAGCTTTAGCTGGAGGGTTTCAGCTTTGAACATGGTAGGGAGTTGTGTTCCYGTTATTTTTAGTAGTGCCTTAGCCCTTCACACTCACGGTTGACATCGGCCGTTTTCACACACCTCATAGGGTTTATAGGATTAAGTCTGTAAAGCTACAGGTGTGGAATAACCCCCCAGAGACCTTGCAGGGTCCCTTCTGTATGGGATGGAGAATTAAAATTGCTGTGGTGGTGGTGCAAATGAGAAATCCCTGACAACACTTGTCAATGGTTTGCTCCTCTTGCCACAGTGCACTTCATGCTCAGTTCTTGCTGCTGCTCAGAGCAGTTTATGGTTTCTGCTGCAAGAGAATGATCCCTGCACTGCTGTATAAAAATAAGTCRTGATTTTGGAAAAAGAGAACAAAGCTCAGGCATTGGGAGGTTTGCAGGAGCATCAGCTCCCGTTGCCTGTGCAGTTGTACTCCGTGCTTGARACAAAACTGCCGTGGAGCCCCACATGTGCCTGATGTGAGTCAGTGCTGCTTTCTGCTTGACCTCATTTCTTGGTGCTGCCCACGGCATGTGCTGACACATATCTGAGCAGCTGGGAACCCGAGCTCTTGGACACACACACATGAGGAGCATTGCTGTGTGTTTCTGTGCTGGCTGAGTGCTGCTCATCAGGGMAGGGCAAGGCAATTCTGCTCCTGCAGTAGGATTGGGTGGGGGTGGCTCCTCTGGGGGCACCTCTTTGGTGTGGGGGTGTTTCTTATCTCCAGCATCACTCAGAGTCTTTGAGAGACCTGTGGCAGCTCATGAATTCCCTGAGTCTGCAGGTAAAAGCTGCATCACCTGAGCCCCTGGCCTGCACTTCCTAGCAGCTCCCTGGCTTCCTGGTTTTAGTGGCAATTCAGTGTTCACTGAATCAAGTGAACAAGTTTGGCTTGGAAGGGACCTTAAAGCCCATCTCATTCCACCCCGTGCCATGGGCAGGGACACCTTCCACTATCCAGAGTGCTCCAAGCCCTGTCCAGCCTGGCCTTGGACACTGCCAGGGATCCAGGGGCAGCCACAGCTTCTCTGGGCACCCTGTGCCAGGGTCTCCCCCCACAGAGAAAATTTCTCCCCAATATCCCATCCCTACMCCCCCAATGTGAAYCTTTCCCCTTGTCCTGTCCCTCCAACCCTTCTCSAAAGTCCCTCTCCAGATTTGTTGTTGGCCTCCAATATTCTTTACTCTTAGTTGATCTGCAGTTTTTTATTTCACAGGTAAGACAAAGGAGGAAGTTMACAGTGGATGCCTCTATTTCAGCTCAGTACAGTTTGAGTGTCAGAAGCTCTAACAAGCTGAGTGACAAATTTAAATCCRGCTACAAATGCTGCAGGTTTATTTAGAGTCATAAATTATTTATCATGTAGTAAGCAGCAGAAATATTACTTCTCCATCATCTTTACTCTCTCATCCTGTGCAAAGGGTCATACCCATGAAAAGCAAATATCCATGGTGCCGGTGTGAGATGTCTTTCTCTCGTGCCTGACCCTCAGGAGTGGTCCTGATGATTGTCACTGGATCTGGCA